AAGACAACAAAACTCACCTTCGGTAGTAGCTATAGGAATTTCTACAGTATGTCACTTTTCTGGATTCACTTGTTTGCTGTAACGGAGCGTCTGTTTTCAAAACTTTAATAAAACAATTATTATGTATTTGTAACTACTAATTGGCTGTTTAAAGTATTGAATTATTTTGTGGAGCTAAATAACATACTAGAACACTTATTTGAAAGACCAGATACGGTATATACATATATATATTTATTCAGGATAGTTCTGAGATGTTAGCAATTACGACTGACCCTTCGTAGTTGTCTCAGGAATTGCTGCAGTAGTCGCTTTGCTGGACCCTGTTGTCATCAGCTGACTTGAAGCTTCAGTTTCTAAACCTGAAAGCATTTAGAGAATGCATTTACTCGATTTTAATTTAACTGCTATGTAATTCAACACTTATAATTTTGTGTTTAGTGAAATGAATACTTTGTACCCAATTGTCCAACAAAAAAAGTCTTTTGGAACAATATTTAAGTCTAGATCACGTCGTCTGGTATTAAAGAGCGAATTATTCACATTATTATATTCTAGTCGAATCAAACTTTAAGCAAAATGTATAAGAGAAAACTATGTGATTGACTTGTGTGTGCAATCAATTTGCATCCCGAATGACAATGCTAACGATTCTAAATTACTCGTATTAAGTCACTCACATTGAATATCACCCAACGCAACTGGTTTATTGTGTACATCGTTACCATATAATTCATACACCGCCGGAACGTTCGAGTAAGATAAGTAATCATGAGAATATTTCAAAGTATGCAGGAAGGCAGTACTATGATCGTACCGTCCGGCGCGTATCGGATGTTGATGCGACCCTGTACAGCCTTAGTGCATACTTTTCTGTATTCTCGTGATAACCATAATATTATACATCTTTTTTTCTGCTTGTAGTTATCATTCAATGTAATATGATACCATTGAAACAACAAACAAATATAAATACCTGTGTTATTTTAGTAAATGATAAACAATGAAACTAGTACTCCGCAGCAGATTTGAAATTAATTTGAACTCCTGAATGAAAAATAACTTTAAAAATTAATTTTGCATACTTATGCATGAGGAAATAAGCATGAGGACTTACTTTGCTGGTCAAATATCAGTATTAATACTTATATATATTATCATTATTTTCAGAATGTAGACAACAAAACTCACCTTCGGTAGTAGCTATAGGAATTTCTACAGTAGTCACTTTTCTGGATTCATTTGTTTGCTGTATGGGAGCGTCGGTTTTCAAAACTGTAATAAAACAAATATTCTTTATTTTAACTACTAATTGGCTGTTTAAAATATTGAATTATTTTGTGGAGCTAAATAAAATACTAGAACACTTATTTAGAAGACTAGATACAGTATATACATATAAATATATTTATTCACGATAGTTCTGAAATGTTAGCAATTACAACAGACCGTTCGTAGTTGTTCAGGAATTGCTGCAGTTGTCGCTTTGACGGACTTTGTTGTCATCAGCTCACTTGAAGCTTCAGTTTCTAAACCTGAAAACATTTAAAGAATGCATTTACCCGGTTTTTAATTTAACTACTATGTGATTCATCACTTATAATTTTGTGTTTAGTGAAATGAATACTTTGTACCCAATTGTCCAACAAAAAAGGTCTTTTGGAACAATATTCAAGTCTAGATCACGGCGTGTGGTATTTCAGAGCGAATTATTCACATTATTATATTCCAGTCGAATCAAACTTTCAGCAAAATGTATAAGAGAAAACTATGTGATTGACATGTATGTGCAATCAATTTACATCCCGAATGACAATGCTAATGATTATGAATTACTCGTATTAATTCACTCACATTTGAATATCATCCAATTCTCCTGGTTTATTGTGTACATCGTTACCATATAATTCATACACCGCCGGAACGTTCGAGTAAGATAAGTAATCATGAGAATATTTCAAAGTATGCAGGAAGGTAGTACTACGATCGTACCGACCAGCGCGTATCGGATGTCGATGCGACCCTGTACTGCCTTGGTGCATACTCTTCTGTATCCTCGTGATAACCATAATATTATACATCTTTATTTTCTGCTTGTAGTTATGATTTAATGTAATATGATACCATTGAAACAACAAACAAATATAAATACATGTGTTATTTTAGTAAATGATAAACAATAAAACTGGCATTCCGCAGTAGATTTGAAATTAATTTGAACTCCTGAATGAAAAATAACTTTTAAAATTAATTTTGCATATTTATGCATGAGGAAATATGCATGAGCCCTTACTTTGCTGGTCAAATATCAGTATTAATACTTATATATATTATCATTATTTTCAGAATGCAGACAACAAAACTTACCTTCAGTAGTAGCTATAGGAATTTCAACAGTAGTCACTTTTCTGGATTCACTTGTTTGCTGTAACGGAGCGTCTGTTTTCAAAACTTTAATAAAACAAATATTATGTATTTGTAACTACTAATTGGCTGTTTAAAGTATTGAATTATTTTGTGGAGCTAAATAACATACTAGAACACTTATTTGAAAGCCCAGGTACGGTATATACATATATATATTTATTCAGGATAGTTCTGAAATGTTAGCAATTACGACTGACCCTTCGTAGTTGTCTCAGGAATTGCTGCAGTAGTCGCTTTGCTGGACCCTACTGTCATCAGCTGACTTGAAGCTTCAGTTTCTAAACCTGAAAGCATTTAGAGAATGCATTTACTCGATTTTAATTTAACTGCTATGTGATTCAACACTGATAATTTTGTGTTTAGTGAAATGAATACTTTGTACCCAATTGTCCAACAAAAAAAGTCTTTTGGAACAATATTCAAGTCTAGATCACGGCGTCTGGTATTAAAGAGCGAATTATTCACATTATTATATTCTAGTCGAATCAAACTTTCAGCAACACTCACATTGAATATCACCCAACGCAACTGGTTTATTGTGTACATCGTTACCATATAATTCATACACCGCCGGAACGTTCGAGTAAGATAAGTAATCATGAGAATATTTCAAAGTATGCAGGAAGGCAGTACTATGATCGTACCGTCCGGCGCGTATCGGATGTCGATGCGACCCTGTACAGCCTTAGTGCATACTTTTCTGTATTCTCGTGATAACCATGATATTATACATCTTTTTTTCTGCTTGTAGTTATCATTCAATGTAATATGTTACCATTGAAACAACAAACAAATATAAATACATGTGTTATTTTAGTAAATGATAAACAATAAAACTAGTACTCCGCAGTAGATTTGAAATTAATTTGAACTCCGGAATGAAAAATAACTTTTAAAATTAATGTTGCATACTTATGCATGACGAAATACGCATGATCACTTACTTTGCTGGTCAAATGTAAGTATTAATACTTATATATATTATCATTATTTTCAGAATGTAGACAACAAAACTCACCTTCGGTAGTAGCTATAGGAATTTCTACAGTAGTCACTTTTCTGGATTCACTTGTTTGCTGTAACGGAGCGTCTGTTTTCAAAACTTTAATAAAACAAATATTATGTATTTGTAACTACTAATTGGCTGTTTAAAGTATTGAATTATTTTGTGGAACTAAACAACATACTAGAACACTTATTTGAAAGACCAGATACGGTATATACATATATATATATTTATTTAGGATAGTTCTGAAATGTTAGCAATTACGACTGACCCTTCGTAGTTGTCGCAGGAATTGCTGCAGTAGTCGCTTTGCTGGACCCTGTTGTCATCAGCTGACTTGAAGCTTCAGTTTCTAAACCTGAAAGCATTTAGAGAATGCATTTACTCGATTTTAATTTAACTGCTATGTGATTCAACACTTATAATTTTGTGTTTAGTGAAATGAATACTTTGTACCCAATTGTCCAACAAAAAAAGTCTTTTGGAACAATATTCAAGTCTAGATCACGTCGTCTGGTATGAAAGAGCGAATTATTCACATTATTATATTCTAGTCGAATCAAACTTTCAGCAACACTCACATTGAATATCACCCAACGCAACTGGTTATTGTGTACATCGTTACCATATAATTCATACACCGCCGGAACGTTCGAGTAAGATAAGTTATCATGAGAATATTTCAAAGTATGCAGGAAGGCAGTACTATGATCGTACCGTCCGGCGCGTGTCGGATGTCGATGCGACCCTGTACAGCCTTAGTGCATACTTTTCTGTATTCTCGTGATAACCATGATATTATACATCTTTTTTTCTGCTTGTAGTTATCATTCAATGTAATATGTTACCATTGAAACAACAAACAAATATAAATACATGTGTTATTTTAGTAAATGATAAACAATAAAACTAGTACTCCGCAGTAGATTTGAAATTAATTTGAACTCCGGAATGAAAAATAACTTTTAAAATTAATGTTGCATACTTATGCATGACGAAATACGCATGATCACTTACTTTGCTGGTCAAATGTAAGTATTAATACTTATATATATTATCATTATTTTCAGAATGTAGACAACAAAACTCACCTTCGGTAGTAGCTATAGGAATTTCTACAGTAGTCACTTTTCTGGATTCACTTGTTTGCTGTAACGGAGCGTCTGTTTTCAAAACTTTAATAAAACAAATATTATGTATTTGTAACTACTAATTGGCTGTTTAAAGTATTGAATTATTTTGTGGAGCTAAACAACATACTAGAACACTTATTTGAAAGACCAGATACGGTATATACATATATATATTTATTCAGGATAGTTCTGAAATGTTAGCAATTACGACTGACCCTTCGTAGTTGTCTCAGGAATTGCTGCAGTAGTCGCTTTGCTGGACCCTGTTGTCATCAGCTGACTTGAAGCTTCAGTTTCTAAACCTGAAAGCATTTAGAGAATGCATTTACTCGATTTTAATTTAACTGCTATGTGATTCAACACTTATAATTTTGTGTTTAGTGAAATGAATACTTTGTACCCAATTGTCCAACAAAAAAAGTCTTTTGGAACAATATTCAAGTCTAGATCACGTCGTCTGGTATGAAAGAGCGAATTATTCACATTATTATATTCTAGTCGAATCAAACTTTCAGCAAAATGTATAAGAGAAAACTATGTGATTGACTTGTGTGTGCAATCAATTTGCATCCCGAATGACAATGCTAACGATTCTGAATTACTCGTATTAATTCACTCACATTGAATATCACCCAACGCAACTGGTTTATTGCGTACATCGTTACCATATAATTCATACACCGCCGGAAAGTTCGAGTAAGATAAGTAATCATGAGAATATTTCAAAGTATGCAGGAAGGCAGTACTATGATCGTACCGAACAGCGTGTATCGGGTGTCGATGCGACCCTGTACTGCCTTGGTGCATACTCTTCTGTATTCTCCTGATAACCATTATATTATACATCTTTTTTTTTCTGCTTGTAGTTATCATTCAATGTAACATGATACCATTGAAACAACAAACAAATATAAATACATGTGTTATTTTAGTAAATGATAAACAATAAAACTAGTACTCCGCAGTAGATTTGAAATTAATTTGAACTCCTGAATGAAAAATAACTTTAAAAATTAATTTTGCATACTTATGCATGAGGAAATAAGCATGAGGACTTACTTTGCTGGTCAAATATCAGTATTAATACTTATATTTATTATCATTATTTTCAGAATGTAGACAACAAAACTCACCTTCGGTAGTAGCTATAGGAATTTCTACAGTAGTCACTTTTCTGGATTCATTTGTTTGCTGTATGGGAGCGTCGGTTTTCAAAACTGTAATAAAACAAATATTCTTTATTTTAACTACTAATTGGCTGTTTAAAATATTGAATTATTTTGTGGAGCTAAATAAAATACTAGAACACTTATTTAGAAGACTAGATACAGTATATACATATAAATATATTTATTCACGATAGTTCTGAAATGTTAGAAATTACAACAGACCTTTCGTAGTTGTTTCAGGAATTGCTGCAGTTGTCGCTTTGACGGACCTTGTTGTCATCAGCACACTTGAAGCTTCAGTTTCTAAACCTGAAAACATTTAAAGAATGCATTTACCCGATTTTTAATTTAACTACTATGTGATTCAACACTTATAATTTTGTGTTTAGTGAAATGAATACTTTGTACCCAATTGTCCAACAAAAAAGGTCTTTTGGAACAATATTCAAGTCTTGATCACGGCGTCTGGTATTTAAGAGCGAATTATTCACATTATTATATTCTAGTCGAATCAAACTTTCAGCAAAACGTATAATAGAAAACTATGTGATTGACCTGTATGTGCAATCAATTTACATCCCGAATGACAATGCTAATGATTCAGAATTACTCGTATTAATTAACTCACATTTGAATATCATCCAAGTCTCCCGGTTTATTGTGTACATCGTTACCATATAATTCGTACAAAACCGGAACGTTCGAGTAAGATAAGTAATCATGAGAATATTTCAAAGTATGCAGGAAGGCAGTACTATGATCGTACCGAACTGCGCGTATCGGGTGTCGATGCGACCCTGTACTGCCTTGGTGCATACTCTTCTGTATTCTCTTGATAACCATAATATTATACATCTTTTTTTTTCTGATTGTAGTTATGATTTAATGTAATATGATACCATTGAAACAACAAACAAATATAAATACATGTGTTATTTTAGTAAATGATAAACAATAAAACTGGTACTCCGCAGTAGATTTGAAATTAACTTGAACTCCTGAATGAAAAATAACTTTAAAAATTAATTTTGCATACTTATGCATGAGGAAATATGCATGAGCACTTACTTTGCTGGTCAAATATTAGTATTAATACTTATATATATTATCATTATTTTCAGAATGTAGACAACAAAACTCACCTTCGGTAGTAGCTATAGGAATTTCTACAGTAGTCACTTTTCTGGATTCACTTGTTTGCTGTAACGGAGCGTCTGTTTTCAAAACTTTAATAAAACAAATATTATGTATTTGTAACTACTAATTGGCTGTTTAAAGTATTGAATTATTTTGTGGAGCTAAATAACATACTAGAACACTTATTTGAAAGACCAGATACAGTATATACATATAGATTTATTCAGGATAGTTCTGAAATGTTAGCAATTACAACAGACCTTTCGTAGTTGTTTCAGGAATTGCTGCAGTTGTCGCTTTGATGGACCTTGTTGTCATCAGCTCACTTGAAGCTTCAGTTTCTAAACATGAACACATTTAAAGAATGCATTTACCCGGTTTTTAATTTAACTACTATGTGATTCAACACTTATAATTTTGTGTTTAGTGAAATGAATACTTTGTACCCAATTGTCCAACAAAAAAGGTCTTTTGGAACAATATTCAAGTCTAGATCATGGCGTCTGATATTATAGAGCGAATTATTCACATTATTATATTCTGGTCGAATCAAACTTTCAGCAAAATGTATAAAAGAAAACTATGTGATTGACTTCTATGTGCAATCAATTTACATCCTGAATGACAATGCTAACGATTATGAATTACTCATATTAAATCATTCACATTGAATAACATCCAACGCTCCCGGTTTATTATGTGCATCGTTACCATGTAATTCATACACCGCCCGAACGTTCGAGTAAGATAAGTAATCATGAGAATATTTCAAAGTATGCAGGAAGGTAGTACTACGATCGTACCGACCAGCGCGTATCGGATGTCGATGCGAACCTGTACTGCCTTGGTGCATACTCTTCTGTATCCTCGTGATAACCATAATATTATACATCTTTTTTTCCTGCTTGTAGTTATGATTTAATGTAATATGATACCATTGAAACAACAAACAAATATAAATACATGTGTTATTTTAGTAAATGATAAAAAATAAAACTGGCATTCCGCAGTAGATTTGAAATTAATTTGAACTCCTGAATGAAAAATAACTTTACAAATTAATTTTGCATACTTATGCATGAGGAAATATTCATGAGCACTTACTTTGCTGGTCAAATATTAGTATTAATACTTATATATATTATCATTATTTTCAGAATGTAGACAACAAAACTCACCTTCGGTAGTAGCTATAGGAATTTCTACAGTAGTCACTTTTCTGGATTCACTTGTTTGCTGTAACGGAGCGTCTGTTTTCAAAACTTTAATAAAACAAATATTATGTATTTGTAACTACTAATTGGCTGTTTAAAGTATTGAATTATTTTGTGGAGCTAAATAACATACTAGAACACTTATTTGAAAGACCAGATACAGTATATACATATAGATTTATTCAGGATAGTTCTGAAATGTTAGCAATTACAACAGACCTTTCGTAGTTGTTTCAGGAATTGCTGCAGTTGTCGCTTTGATGGACCTTGTTGTCATCAGCTCACTTGAAGCTTCAGTTTCTAAACATGAAAACATTTAAAGAATGCATTTACCCGGTTTTTAATTTAACAACTATGTGATTCAACACTTATAATTTTGTGTTTAGTGAAATGAATACTTTGTACCCAATTGTCCAACAAAAAAGGTCTTTTGGAACAATATTCAAGTCTAGATCATGGCGTCTGATATTAAAGAGCGAAATATTCACATTATTATATTCTGGTCGATCAAACTTTCAGCAAAATGTATAAAAGAAAACTATGTGATTGACTTCTATGTGCAATCAATTTACATCTGAATGACAATGCTAACGATTATGAATTACTCATATTAAATCATTCACATTGAATAACATCCAACGCTCCCGGTTTATTATGTGCATCGTTACCATGTAATTCATACACCGCCGGAACGTTCGAGTAAGATAAGTAATCATGAGAATATTTCAAAGTATGCAGGAAGGTAGTACTACGATCGTACCGACCAGCGCGTATCGGATGTCGATGCGAACCTGTACTGCCTTGGTGCATACTCTTCTGTATCCTCGTGATAACCATAATATTATACATCTTTTTTTCCTGCTTGTAGTTATGATTTAATGTAATATGATACCATTGAAACAACAAACAAATATAAATACATGTGTTATTTTAGTAAATGATAAAAAATAAAACTGGCATTCCGCAGTAGATTTGAAATTAATTTGAACTCCTGAATGAAAAATAACTTTTAAAATTAATTTTGCATATTTATGCATGAGGAAATATGCATGAGCCCTTACTTTGCTGGTCAAATATCAGTATTAATACTTATATATATTATCATTATTTTCAGAATGCAGACAACAAAACTTACCTTCTGTAGTAGCTATAGGAATTTCTACAGTAGTCACTTTTCTGGATTCACTTGTTTGCTGTATGGGAGCGTCGGTTTTCAAAACTGTAATAAAACAAATATTCTTTATTTTAACTACTAATTGGCTGTTTAAAATATTGAATTATTTTGTGGAGCTAAATAAAATACTAGAACACTTATTTGGAAGACTAGATACAGTATATACATATAAATATATTTATTCACGATAGTTCTGAAATGTTAGTAATTACAACAGACCTTTCGTAGTTGTTTCAGGAATTGCTGCAGTTGTCGCTTTGATGGACCTTGTTGTCATCAGCTCACTTGAAGCTTCAGTTTCTAAACCTGAAAACATTTAAAGAATGCATTTACCCGGTTTTTAATTTAACTACTATGTGATTCAACACTTATAATTTTGTGTTTAGTGAAATGAATACTTTGTACCCAATTGTCCAACAAAAAAGGTCTTTTGGAACAATATTCAAGTCTAGATCATGGCGTCTGATATTAAAGAGCGAATTATTCACATTATTATATTCTGGTCGAATCAAACTTTCAGCAAAATGTATAAAAGAAAACTATGTGATTGACTTCTATGTGCAATCAATTTACATCCTGAATGACAATGCTAACGATTATGAATTACTCATATTAAATCATTCACATTGAATAACATCCAACGCTCCCGGTTTATTGTGTGCATCGTTACCATATAATTCATACACCGACGGAACGTTCGAGTAAGATAAGTAATCATGAGAATATTTCAAAGTATGCAGGAAGGCAGTACTATGATCGAACTGACCGGCGCGTGTCGGATGTCGATGCGACCATGTACTGCCTTACTGCACACTTTTCTGTATTCTCGTGATAACCATAATATTATACATCTATTTTTCTGCTTGTAGTTATGATTCAATGTAAACTGATTCCATTGAAACAACAAACAAATATAAATACAAGTGTTATTTTAGTGAATGATAAACAATAAAACTGGTACTCCGCAGTAGATTTGAAATTAATTTGAACTCCTGAATGAAAAATAACTTTGAAAAATCATTTTGCATACTTATGCATGAGGAAATATGCATGAGCACTTACTTTGCTGGTCAAATATCAGTATTAAGACATATATATATTATCATTATTTTCAGAATGTAGACAACAAAACTCACCTTCGGTAGTAGCTATAGGAATTTCTACAGTAGTCACTTTTCTGGATTCACTTGTTTGCTGTATGGGAGCGTCGGTTTTCAAAACTGTAATAAAACAAATATTATTTATTTTAACTACTAATTGGCTGCTTAAAATATTGAATTATTTTGTGGAGCTAAATAAAATACTAGAACACTTATTTAAAAGACTAGATACAGTATATACATATAAATATATTTATTCACGATAGTTCTGAAATGTTAGCAATTACAACAGACCTTTCGTAGTTGTTTCAGGAATTGCTGCAGTTGTCGCTTTGATGGACCTTGTTGTCATCAGCTCACTTGAAGCTTCAGTTTCTAAACCTGAAAACATTTAAAGAATGCATTTACCCGATTTTTAATTTAACTACTATGCGATTCATCACTTATAATTTTGTGTTTAGTGAAATGAATACTTTGTACCCAATTGTCCAACAAAAAAGGTCTTTTGGAACAATATTCAAGTCTAGATCACGGCGACTGGTATTAAAGAGCGAATTATTCACATTATTATATTCTAGTCGAATCAAACTTTCAGCAAAATGTATAAGAGAAAACTATGTGATTGACTTCTATGCGCAATCTATTTACATCCTGAATGACAATGCTAACTATTCTGAATTACTCATATTAAATCATTCACATTGAATAACATCCAACGCTTCCGGTTTTATTGTGTGCATCGTTACCATATATTTCATACACCGCCGGAACGTTCGAGTAAGATAAGTAATCATGAGAATATTTCAAAGTATGCAGGAAGGCAGTACTATGATCGTACCGTCCGGCGCGTATCGGATGTCGATGCGACCCTGTACTGCCTTAGTGCATACTTTTCTGTATTCTCGTGATAACCATAATATTATACATCTTTTTTTCTGCTTGAAGTTATGATTCAATGTAATATGATACCATTGAAACAACAAACAAATATAAATACATGTGTTATTTTAGTAAATGATAAACAATAAAACTGGTACTCCGCAGTAGATTTGAAATTAACTTGAACTCCTGAATGAAAAATAACTTTAAAAATTAATTTTGCATACTTATGCATGAGGAAATATGCACGAGCACTTACTTTGCTGGTCAAATATTAGTATTAATACTTATATATATTATCATTATTTTCAGAATGTAGACAACAAAACTCACCTTCGGTAGTAGCTATAGGAATTTCTACAGTAGTCACTTTTCTGGATTCACTTATTTGCTGTAACGGAGCGTCTGTTTTCAAAACTTTAATAAAACAAATATTATGTATTTGTAACTACTAATTGGCTGTTTAAAGTATTGAATTATTTTGTGGAGCTAAATAACATACTAGAACACTTATTTGAAAGACCAGATACAGTATATACATATAGATTTATTCAGGATAGTTCTGAAATGTTAGCAATTACAACAGACCTTTCGTAGTTGTTTCAGGAATTGCAGCAGTTGTCGCTTTGATGGACCTTGTTGTCATCAGCTCACTTGAAGCTTCAGTTTCTAAACATGAACACATTTAAAGAATGCATTTACCCGGTTTTTAATTTAACTACTATGTGATTCAACACTTATAATTTTGTGTTTAGTGAAATGAATACTTTGTACCCAATTGTCCAACAAAAAAGGTCTTTTGGAACAATATTCAAGTCTAGATCATGGCGTCTGATATTATAGAGCGAATTATTCACATTATTATATTCTGGTCGAATCAAACTTTCAGCAAAATGTATAAAAGAAAACTATGTGATTGACTTCTATGTGCAATCAATTTACATCCTGAATGACAATGCTAACGATTATGAATTACTCATATTAAATCATTCACATTGAATAACATCCAACGCTCCCGGTTTATTATGTGCATCGTTACCATGTAATTCATACACCGCCCGAACGTTCGAGTAAGATAAGTAATCATGAGAATATTTCAAAGTATGCAGGAAGGTAGTACTACGATCGTACCGACCAGCGCGTATCGGATGTCGATGCGAACCTGTACTGCCTTGGTGCATACTCTTCTGTATCCTCGTGATAAGCATAATATTATACATCTTTTTTTCTGCTTGTAGTTATGATTTAATGTAATATGATACCATTGAAACAACAAACAAATATAAATACATGTGTTATTTTAGTAAATGATAAACAATAAAACTAGTACTCCGCAGTAGATTTGAAATTAATTTGAAATCCTGAATGAAAAATAACTTTAAAAATTAATTTTGCATACTTATGCATGTGGAATTATGCATGAGCACTTACTTTGCTGGTCAAATATCAGTTTTAATACTTATATATATTATTATTTTCAGAATGCAGACAACAAAACTTACCTTCAGTAGTAGCTATAGGAATTTCTACAGTAGTCACTTTTCTGGATTCACTTGTTTGCTGTATGGGAGCGTCGGTTTTCAAAACTGTAATACAACAAATATTCTTTATTTTAACTACTAATTGGCTGTTTAAAATATTGAATTATTTTGTGGAGCTAAATAAAATACTAGAACACTTATTTAGAAGACTAGATACAGTATATACATATAAATATATTTATTCACGATAGTTCTGAAATGTTAGCAATTACAACAGACCTTTCATAGTTGTTTCAGGAATTGCTGCAGTTGTCGCTTTGATGGACCTTGTTGTCATCAGCTCACTTGAAGCTTCAGTTTCTAAACCTGAAAACATTTAAAGAATGCATTTACCCGGTTTTTAATTTAACTACTATGTGATTCAACACTTATAATTTAGTGTTTAGTGAAATGAATACTTTATACCCAATTGTCCAACAAAAAAGGTCTTTTGGAACAATATTCAAGTCTAGATCGTGGCGTCTGATATTAAAGAGCGAATTATTCACATTATTATATTCTGGTGGAATCAAACTTTCAGCAAAATGTATAAAAGAAAACTATGTGATTGACTTCTATGTGCAATCAATTTACATCCTGAATGACAATGCTAACGATTATGAATTACTCATATTAAATCATTCACATTGAATAACATCCAACGCTCCCGGTTTATTGTGTGCATCGTTACCATATAATTCATACACCGCCGGAACGTTCGAGTAAGATAAGTAATCATGAGAATATTTCAAAGTATGCAGGAAGGTAGTACTACGATCGTACCGACCAGCGCGTATCGGATGTCGATGCGAACCTGTACTGCCTTGGTGCATACTCTTCTGTATCCTCGTGATAACCATAATATTATACATCTTTTTTTTCTGCTTGTAGTTATGATTTAATGTAATATGATACCATTGAAACAACAAACAAATATAAATACATGTGTTATTTTAGTAAATGATAAAAAATAAAACTGGCATTCCGAAGTAGATTTGAAATTAATTTGAACTCCTGAATGAAAAATAACTTTTAAAATTAATTTTGCATATTTATGCATGAGGAAATATGCATGAGACCTTACTTTGCTGGTCAAATATCAGTATTAATACTTATATATATTATCATTATTTTCAGAATGCAGACAAGAAAACTTACCTTCAGTAGTAGCAATAGGAATTTCTACAGTAGTCACTTTTCTGGATTCACTTGTTTGCTGTAACGGAGCGTCTGTTTTCAAAACTTTAATAAAACAAATATTACGTATTTGTAACTACTAATTGGCTGTTTAAAGTATTGAATTATTTTGTGGAGCTAAATAACATACTAGAACACTTATTTGAAAGACCAGATACGGTATATACATATATATATTTATTCAGGATAGTTCTGAAATGTTAGCAATTACGACTGACCCTTCGTAGTTGTCTCAGGAATTGCTGCATTAGTCGCTTTGCTGGACCCTGTTGTCATCAGCTGACTTGAAGCTTCAGTTTCTAAACCTGAAAGCATTTAGAGAATGCATTTACTCGATTTTAAATGAACTGCTATGTGATTCAACACTTATAATTTTGTGTTTAGTGAAATGAATACTTTGTACCCAATTGTCAAACAAGGAAAGGTCTTTTGGAACAATATTCAAGTCTAGATCACGGCGTCTGGTATTAAAGAGCGAATTATTCACATTATTATATTCTAGTCGAATCAAACTTTCAGCAACACTCACATTGAATATCACCCAACGCAACTGGTTTATTGTGTACATCGTTACCATATAATTCATACACCCCCGGAACGTTCGAGTAAGATAAGTAATCATGAGAATATTTCAAAGTATGCAGAAAAGGCAGTACTATGATCGTACCGTCCGGCGCGTATCGATGTCGATGCGACCCTGTACTGCCTTAGTGCATACTCTTCTGTATTCTCGTGATAACCATAATATTATACATCTTTTTTTCTGCTGTAGTTATGATTTAATGTAATATGATACCATTGAAACAACAAACAAATATAAATACATGTGTTATTTTAGTAAATGATAAACAATAAAACTAGTACTCCGCAGTAGATTTGAAATTAATTTGAACTCCGGAATGAAAAATAACTTTTAAAATTAATGTTTCATACTTATGCATGACGAAATACGCATGAGCACTTATTTTGCTGGTCAAATGTAAGTATTAATACTTATATATATTATCATTATTTTCAGAATGTAGACAACTAAACTCACCTTCGGTAGTAGCTATTGGAATTTCTACAGTAGTCACTTTTCTGGATTCACTTGTTTGTTGTATGGGAGCGTCGGTTTTCAAAACTGTAATAAAACAAATATTCTTTATTTTAACTACTAATTGGCTGTTTAAAATATTGAATTATTTTGTGGAGCTAAATAAAATACTAGAACACTTATTTAGAAGACTAGATACATTATATACATATAAATATATTTATTCACGATAGTTCTGAAATGTTAGCAATTACAACAGACCTTTCATAGTTGTTTCAGGAATTGCTGCAGTTGTCGCTTTGACGGACCTTGTTGTCATCAGCTCACTTGAAGCTTCAGTTTCTAAACCTGAAAACATTTAAAGAATGCATTTACCCGGTTTTTAATTTAACTACTATGTGATTCATCACTTATAATTTTGTGTTTAGTGAAATGAATACTTTGTAGCCAATTGTCCAACAAAAAAGGTCTTTTGGAACAATATTCAAGTCTAGATCACGGCGTCTCGTATTAAAATGCGAATTATTCACATTATTATATTCTAGTCGAATCAAACTTTCAGCAAAATGTATAAGAGAAAACTATGTGATTGACATGTATGTGCAATCAATTTACATCCCGAATGACAATGCTAATGATTATGAATTACTCGTATTAATTCACTCACATTTGAATATCATCCAATTCTCCCGGTTTATTGTGTACATCGTTACCATATAATTCATACACCGCCGGAACGTTCGAGTAAGATAAGTAATCATGAGAATATTTCAAAGCATGCAGGAAGGTAGTACTACGATCGTACCGACCAGCGCGTATCGGATGTCGATGCGACCCTGTACTGCCTTGGTGCATACTCTTCTGTATCCTCGTGATAACCATAATATTATACATCTTTTTTTTTCTGCTTGTAGTTATGATTTAATGTAATATGATACCATTGAAACAACAAACAAATATAAATACATGTGTTATTTTAGTAAATGATAAACAATAAAACTGGCATTCCGCAGTAGATTTGAAATTAATTTGAACTCATGAATGAAAAATAACTTTAAAAATTAATTTTGCATACTTATGCATGAGGAAATATGCATGAGCACTTACTTTGCTGGTCAAATATCAGTATTAATACTTATATATATTATCATTATTTTCAGAATGCAGACAACAAAACTTACCTTCAGTAGTAGCTATAGGAATTTCTACAGTAGTCACTTTTCTGGATTCACTTGTTTGCTGTAATGGAGTGTCTGTTTTCAAAACTTTAATAAAACAAATATTATGTATTTGTAACTACTAATTGGCTGTTTAAAGTATTGAATTATTTTGTGGAGCTAAATAACATACTAGAACACTTATTTGAAAGACCAGATACGGTATATACATATATATATTTATTCAGGATAGTTCTGAAATGTTAGCAATTACGACTGACCCTTCGTAGTTGTCTCAGGAATTGCTGCAGTAGTCGCTTTGCTGGACCCTGCTGTCATCAGCTGACTTGAAGCGTCAGTTTCTAAACCTGAAAGCATTTAGAGAATGCATTTACTCGATTTTAAATTAACTGCTATGTGATTCAACACTTATAATTTTGTGTTTAGTGAAATGAATACTTTGTACCCAATTGTCAAACAAGGAAAGGTCTTTTGGAACAATATTCAAGTCTAGATCACGTCGTCTGGTATTAAAGGGCGAATTATTCACATTATTATATTCTAGTCGAATCAAACTTTCAGCAAAATGTATAAGAGAAAACAATGTGATTGACTTGTGTGTGCAATCAATTTGCATCCCGAATGACAATGCTAACGATTCTGAATTACTCGTATTAATTCACTCACATTGAATATCACCCAACGCAACTGGTTTATTGTGTATATCGTTACCATATAATTCATACACCGCCGGAACGTTCGAGTAAGATAAGTAATCATGAGAATATTTCAAAGTATGCAGGAAGGCAGTACTATGATCGTACCGTCCGGCGCGTATCGGATGTCGATGCGACCCTGTACACCCTTAGTGCATACTTTTCTGTATTCTCGTGATAACCATAATATTATACATCTTTTTTTCTGCTTGTAGTTATCATTCAATGTAATATGATACCATTGAAACAACAAACAAATATAAATACATGTGTTATTTTAGTAAATGATAAACAATAAAACTAGTACTCCGTAGTAGATTTGTAATTAATTTGAACTCCTGAATAAAAAATAACTTTAAAAATTAATTTGGCATAGTTATGCATGAGAAAATATGCATGAGCCCTTACTTTGCTGGTCAAATATCAGTATTAATACTTATATATATTATCAGTATTTTCAGAATGCAGACAACAAAACTTACCTTCAGTAGTAGCTATAGGAATTTCTACAGTAGTCACTTTTCTGGATTCACTTGTTTGCTGTAACGGAGCGTCTGTTTTCAAAACTTTAATAAAACAAATATTATGTATTTGTAACTACTAATTGGCTGTTTAAAGTATTGAATTATTTTGTGGAGCTAAATAACATACTAGAACACTTATTTGAAAGACCAGATACAGTATATACATATATATTTATTCAGGATAGTTCTGACATGTTAGCAATTACGACTGACCCTTCTTAGTTGTCTCAGGAATTGCTGCAGTCGTCGCTTTGCTGGACCCTGTTGTCATCAGCTGACTTGAAGCTTCAGTTTCTAAACCTGAAAGCATTTAGAGAGTGCATTTACTCGATTTTAATTTAACTGCTATGTGATTCAACACATATAATTTTGTGTTCAGTGAAATGTATACATTGTACCCAATTGTCAAACAAGGAAAGGACTTTTGGAACAATATTCAAGTCTAGATCACGGCGTCTGGTATTAAAGAGCGAATTATTCACATTATTATATTCTAGTCGAATCAAACTTTCAGCAAAATGTATAAGAGAAAACTATGTGATTGACTTCTATGTGCAATCAATTTACATCCTGAATGAAAATGCTAACGATTATGAATTACTCATATTAAATCATTCACATTGAATAGCATCCAACGCTCCCGGTTTATTGTGTGCATCGTTAGCATATAATTCATACACCGCCGGAACGTTCGAGTAAGATAAGTAATCATGAGAATATTTCAAAGTATGCAGGAAGGTAGTACTACGATCGTACTGACCAGCGCGTATTGGATGTCGAAGCGACCCTGTACTGCCTTGGTGCATACTCTTCTGTATCCTTGTGGTAACCATAATATTATACATCTTTTTTTTTCTGCTTGTAGTTATGATTTAATGTAATATGATACCATTGAAACAACAAACAAATATAAATACATGTGTATTTTAGTAAATGATAAACAATAAAACTGGCATTCCGCAGTAGATTTGAAATTAATTTGAACTCCTGAATGAAAAATAACTTTTAAAATTAATTTGGCATAGTTATGCATGAGGAAATATGCATGAGCCCTTACTTTGCTGGTCAAATATCAGTATTAATACTTATATATATTATCAGTATTTTCAGAATGCAGACAACAAAACTTACCTTCAGTAGTAGCTATAGGAATTTCTACAGTAGTCACTTTTCTGGATTCACTTGTTTGCTGTAACGGAGCGTCTGTTTTCAAAACTTTAATAAAACAAATATTATGTATTTGTAACTACTAATTGGCTGTTTAAAGTATTGAATTATTTTGTGGAGCTAAATAACATACTAGAACACTTATTTGAAAGACCAGATACGGTATATATATATATATTTATTCAGGATAGTTCTGAAATGTTAGCAATTACGACTGGCCCTTTGTAGTTGTCTCAGGAATTGCTGCAGTAGTCGCTTTGCTGGACCCTGTTGTCATCAGCTGACTTGAAGCTTCAGTTTCTAAACCTGAAGGCATTTAGAGAATGCATTTAATCGATTTTAATTTAACTGCTATGTGATTCAACACTTATAATTTTGTGTTTAGTGAAATGAATACTTTGTACCCAATTGTCAAACAAGGAAAGGTGTTTTGGAACAATATTCAAGTCTAGATCACGGCGTCTGGTATTAAAGAGCGAATTATTCACATTATTATAATCTATTCGAATCAAACTTTCAGCAAAATGTATAAGAGAAAACTATGTTATTGACTTGTATGTGCAATCAATTTACATCCCGAATGACAATGCTAACGATTCTGAATTACTCGTATTAATTCATTCACATTGAATATCACCCAAAGCAACTGGTTTATTGTGTACATCGTTACCATATAATTCATACACCGCCGGAACGTTCGAGTAAGATAAGTAATCATGAGAATATTTCAAAGTATGCAGGAAGGCAGTACTATGATCGTACCGTCCGGCGCGTATCGGATGTCGATGCGAGCCTGTACAGCCTTAGTGCATACTTTTCTGTATTCTCGTGATAACCATAATATTATACATCTTTTTTTTCTGCAGTAGTTATCATTCAATGTAATATGATACCATTGAAACAACAAACAAATATAAATACATGTGTTATTTTAGTAAATGATAAACAATAATACTAGTACTCCGCAGTAGATTTGAAATTAATTTGAACTCCGGAATGAAAAATAACTTTTAAAATTAATGTTGCATACTTATGCATGACGAAATACGCTTGAGCACTTACTTTGCTGGTCAAATGTAAGTATTAATACTTATATATATTATCATTATTTTCAGAATGTAGACAACAAAACTCACCTTCGGTAGTAGCTATAGGAATTTCTACAGTAGTCACTTTTCTGGATTCACTAGTTTGCTGTATGGGAGCGTCGGTTTTCAAAACTGTAATAAAACAAATATTCTTTATTTTAACTACTAATTGGCTGTTTAAAATATTGAATTATTTTGTGGAGCTAAATAAAATACTAGAACACTTATTTAGAAGACTAGATACAGTATATGCATATAAATATATTTATTGACGATAGTTCTGAAATGTTAGCAATTACAACAGACCTTTCGTAGTTGTTTCAGGAATTGCTGCAGTTGTCGCTTTGACGGACCTTGTTGTCATCAGCTCACTTGAAGCTTCCGTTTCTAAACCTGAAAACATTTAAAGAATGCATTTACCCGGTTTTTAATTTAACTACTATGCGATTCATCACTTATAATTTTGTGTTTAGTGAAATGAATACTTTGTACCCAATTGTCCAACAAAAAAGGTCTTTTGGAACAATATTGAAGTCTAGATCACGGCGTCTGGTATTAAAGAGCGAATTATTCACATTATTATATTCTAGTCGAATCAAACTTTCAGCAAAAATGTATAAGAGAAAACTATGTGATTGACTTGTATGTGCAATCAATTTACTTCCCGAATGACAATGCTAATGATTCTGAATTACTCGTATTAATTCACTCACATTTGAATATCATCCAAGTCTCCCAGTTTATTGTGTACATCGTTACCATATAATTCATACACCGCCGGAACGTTCGAGTAAGATAAGTAATCATGAGAATATTTCAAAGTATGCAGGAAGGTAGTACTACGATCGTACCGACCAGCGCGTATCGGATGTCGATGCGACCCTGTACTGCCTTGGTGCATACTCTTCTGTATCCTCGTGATAACCATAATATTATACATCTTTTTTTTCTGCTTGTAGTTATGATTTAATGTAATATGATACCATTGAAACAACAAACAAATATAAATACATGTGTTATTTTAGTAAATGATAAACAATAAAACTGGCATTCCGCAGTAGATTTGAAATTAATGTGAACTCCTGAATGAAAATAACTTTTAAAATTAATTTTGCATATTTATGCATGAGGAATATGCATGAGCCCTTACTTTGTGGGTAAATATCAGTAATAAGTACTTATATATATCATCATTATTTTCAGAATGCAGACAACAAACTTACATTCTGTAGTAGCTATAGGAATTTCTACAGTAGTCACTTTTTTCTGGATTCACTTGTTTGCTGTATGGGAGCGTCGGTTTTCAAAACTGTAATAAAACAAATATTCTTTATTTTAACTACTAATTGGCTGTTTAAAATATTGAATTATTTTGTGGAGCTAAATAAAATACTAGAATACTTATTTAGAAGACTAGATACAGTATATACATATAAATATATTTATTCACGATAGTTCTGAAATGTTAGCAATTACAACATACCTTTCGTAGTTGTTTCAGGAATTGCTGCAGTTGTCGCTTTGATGGACCTTGTTGTCATCAGCTCACTTGAAGCTTCAGTTTCTAAACCTGAAAACATTTAAAGAATGCATTTACCCGGTTTTTAATTTAACTACTATGTGATTCAACACTTATAATTTTGTGTTTAGTGAAATGAATACTTTGTACCCAATTGTCCAACAAAAAAGGTCTTTTGGAACAATATTCAAGTCTAGATCATGGCGTCTGATATTAAAGAGCGAATTATTCACATTATTATATTCTGGTCGAATCAAACTTTCAGCAAAATGTATAAAAGAAAACTATGTGATTGACTTCTATGTGCAATCAATTTACATCCTGAATGACAATGCTAACGATTATGAATTACTCATATTAAATCATTCACATTGAATAACATCCAACGCTCCCGGTTTATTGTGTGCATCGTTACCATATAATTCATACACCGCCGGAACGTTCGAGTAAGATAAGTAATCATGAGAATATTTCAAAGTATGCAGGAAGGTAGTACTACGATCGTACCGACCAGCGCGTATCGGATGTCGATGCGAACCTGTACTGCCTTGGTGCATACTCTTCTGTATCCTCGTGATAAGCATAATATTATACATCTTTTTTTCTGCTTGTAGTTATGATTTAATGTAATATGATACCATTGAAACAACAAACAAATATAAATACATGTGTTATTTTAGTAAATGATAAACAATAAAACTAGTACTCCGCAGTAGATTTGAAATTAATTTGAAATCCTGAATGAAAAATAACTTTAAAAATTAATTTTGCATACTTATGCATGTGGAATTATGCATGAGACCTTACTTTGCTGGTCAAATATCAGTATTAATACTTATATATATTATCATTATTTTCAGAATGCAGACAACAAAACTTACCTTCAGTAGTAGCTATAGGAATTTCTACAGTAGTCGCTTTTCTGGATTCACTTGTTTGCTGTAACGGAGCATCTGTTTTCAAAACTTTAATAAAACAAATATTATGTATTTGTAACTACTAATTGGCTGTTTAAAGTATTGAATTATTTTGTGGAGCTAAATAACATACTAGAACACTTATTTGAAAGACCAGATACGGTATATACATATATATATTTATTCAGGATAGTTCTGAAATGTTAGCAATTACGACTGACCCTTCGTAGTTGTCTCAGGAATTGCTGCAGTAGTCGCTTTGCTGGACCCTGTTGTCATCAGCTGACTTGAAGCTTCAGTTTCTAAACCTGAAAGCATTTAGAGAATGCATTTACTCGATTTTAAATGAACTGCTATGTGATTCAACACTTATAATTTTGTGTTTAGTGAAATGAATACTTTGTACCCAATTGTCAAACAAGGAAAGGTCTTTTGGAACAATATTCAAGTCTGGATCACGGCGTCTGGTATTAAAGAGCGAATTATTCACATTATTATATTCTAGTCGAATCAAACTTTCAGCAACACTCACATTGAATATCACCCAACGCAACTGGTTTATTGTGTACATCGTTACCATATAATTCATACACCGCCGGAACGTTCGAGTAACATAAGTAATCATGAGAATATTTCAAAGTATGCAGAAAGGCAGTACTATGATCGTACCGTCCGGCGCGTATCGGATGTCGATGCGACCCTGTACTGCCTTAGTGCATACTTTTCTGTATTATCGTGATAACCATAATATTATACATCTTTTTTCTGCTTGTAGTTATGATTCAATGTAATATGATACCATTGAAACAACAAACAAATATAAATACATCTGTTATTTTAGTAAATGATAAACAATAAAACTGGTACTCCACAGTAGATTTGAAATTAATTTGAACTCCTGAATGAAAAATAACTTTAAAAATTAATTTTGCATACTTATGCATGAGGAAATATGCATGAGCACTTACTTTGCTGGTCAAATATCAGTATTAAGACTTATCTATATTATCATTATTTTCAGAATGTAGACAACAAAACTCACCTTCGGTAGTAGCTATAGGAATTTCTACAGTAGTCACTTTTCTGGATTCACTTGTTTGCTGTATGGGAGCGTCAGTTTTCAAAACTGTAATAAAACAAATATTCTTTATTTTAACTACTAATTGGCTGTTTAAAATATTGAATTATTTTGTGGAGCTAAATAAAATACTAGAACACTTATTTGGAAGACTAGATACAGTATATACATATAAATATATTTATTCACGATAGTTCTGAAATGTTAGTAATTACAACAGACCTTTCGTAGTTGTTTCAGGAATTGCTGCAGTTGTCGCTTTGATGGACCTTGTTGTCATCAGCTCACTTGAAGCTTCAGTTTCTAAACCTGAAAACATTTAAAGAATGTATTTACCCGGTTTTTAATTTAACTACTATGTGATTCAACACTTATAATTTTGTGTTTAGTGAAATGAATACTTTGTACCCAATTGTCCAACAAAAAAGGTCTTTTGGAACAATATTCAAGTCTAGATCATGGCGTCTGATATTAAAGAGCGAATTATTCACATTATTATATTCTGGTCGAATCAAACTTTCAGCAAAATGTATAAAAGAAAACTATGTGATTGACTTCTATGTGCAATCAATTTACATCCTGAATGACAATGCTAACGATTATGAATTACTCATATTAAATCATTCACATTGAATAACATCCAACGCTCCCGGTTTATTGTGTGCATCGTTACCATATAATTCATACACCGCCGGAACGTTCGAGTAAGATAAGTAATCATGAGAATATTTCAAAGTATGCAGGAAGGTAGTACTACGATCGTACCGACCAGCGCGTATCGGATGTCAATGCGAACCTGTACTGCCTTGGTGCATACTCTTCAGTATCCTCGTGATAACCATAATATTATACATCTTTTTTTTCTGCTTGTAGTTATGATTTAATGCAATATGATACCATTGAAACAACAAACAAATATAAATACATGTGTTATTTTAGTAAATGATAAAAAATAAAACTGGCATCCGCTG